ACTACAACTACCACCTGCTTTTTCTTGAGGCTAGGGGCTTTCTTGAACTAATGTAAATGAAGATACAGGTTAGCCAGGCATGGTAGCAGAAGCACCTAATGCCTCATCCTAGCAACTTTACACAAAGCCGAATCATTTTGTCTGCCACTTGGGAGGCTGAGGCAAGAGGATGACCATGAGTTCGAAGCCAACCTGAGCTATATAGTGAGTTCAAGGCCAGCCTGAACTACATAGCAAGACTCTGTCTCAAAAGAAGAAAAAAAAACTAAATGGAGATGGGGTTGATCTTAGCCAGATAGCTGCAGGATAAAGGGCATCTTACAGCTATGTATGTTCAGGATGAAATGGGCCTTAGATTGAATTAAAGAAAATATCTCACTGTGGCTAGAGTCCTACCTCTATTTCCATACTGTTTGCTTTTCTCATCTGAGTCCTAAGCTCCTCTGAACAGAAGGTAGGATATCTAGTTATAAGACATTCTTTTGAAGTTTGATTGCTATTACTTCTGATGAAACTGCTAAAAGTAGTCTTCTTTGTGGGTTTGGTAGGAGACTTTGTTACCCATTCTAATCAAGGACCTGCCTGGGTGAGAACAGATTGCTTTATAGTTCTGCCTCCTCCTCAACCTCACCTTTTCTAATGGATGTATTTATAAGTTAAGATTAAGGACCACCTGGGTATCTACCAAGTAGACCTGTTCAGCCATACAGTGAAGTTGAACCATACTCAGTATTGGAGACTGTCTCTTGTAAACTAGTTAGTGCTGGATTTCATGTTGTTGGCTACATTTGTAATAAGAGAAGATTCTGGCCTACATCCCATAAAAGTCCATAGTTCCAGCTAAGCATGGTGATATATGCCTGTAGTCCCAGCTACTTGGGAGGCTGAGACTGGAGGATCACTTGAACCCACAAATTTAAGATCAGCCGAGTGACAGAGCAAGACCCCAGCTCAAAAAGTGGTTCCCTCAAAACAGGTAGGTCATCCTGTTTGTGATTCCCAATGCTTGTTGACTTAGTCCTTGAAAGTTAACTTACCCCTTTCTCAGTGTAGCTCCTCTGGTCAAGTCAGATTGTTGTCTAGTGCCTCATCCTAGCAACTTTACACAAAGCCCAGTCATTTTGTCTACCCTTGGGAAGCCAGAGAGTGAAGCTAGTATTGGAGATGATCCAGATAATTTCATATTCCTTCCATCTTACAACATTTTCGCCCATAGGGCTATAGGATTTACTCTAGGACTAGTCTGGATTTTCCCACTTCAACAGCTAATTCGGTATCTGGCTAGAATTTAAAGGGTTTCTCTTTGCATCATTCTTCCAGGTAGTATCCTGTTGCCCATCTTTGTCACTTGTGTAATGGCAAGTGTAGCATTTGCCAGTAAATCAAGTTTGATTGTTTTTTAATTGGGAGCAGTTTCTTATCAAGAAGAATGACAGGATAAGGTCCTAATTGTAGACATAGACTAATTTGAAGGTGGACACTACTAAAGAAAAACATCACAGATTCAGAGTATGTTTAAATAACAATCCAACTAGCAGATGACTCTTCTAAGAGCAATTTGTTTATAGTTGAGTCCTGGAGCAGAGTTTGGGATACAACTAGCACATGGAGGGCAATTGCATGGAGGGCTTCAGGGGGGTACAGTAACCAGTGGCAGTGGCCAGGAAGCAAGGGTATAAAGTGGCATCCCAAGGATGGTGTTACAGAATTATTCATGCATGGCAGAGGTTTGCATTCTGGGCTGCCAAGTTGGACCCAACAAAAGCAATGCACTGGCACCATGTAACCCAAAGACATACTCTCTTGTCTGAATACTGATGCCCCTCCATGCACCACTACAGGAACTACTCAAACACCAGCATGGCTTTATTTCACTTTTGTTCTCTGTCCTTTTCAGTCGATATAAATGAATCTTTGGTATTCTAGGATGGCATTTTATGGTTTGGTTGATTCAATTTGAAAATTTTCGCAGGTACCATTTCATTCACATGGACATAGAATTACCAAAGGCTGGGAAAGACCACTGAAAGAGTTCCTTCCTTTACTTCATCTTTAAAAAAACAAAACAAAGCAAAAACATTACCTCTTCCAGGCATGGTAGTGTTCATATATTCCAGCGCCCAGGAGGCTGAGGCAGGAGGATCACTGTGAATTTGAGGTCAGTCTGGGCTACATAATGAGTTCAGGGACAACATGAACTACATAGTGAGACCCTGTCTCAAAAACAAACAAAACCAAACATGATTACCTCCATACTGTTCTCCTCCTAACATGTCCTAACATAAGAAGTCACCCACCTTAGCCTCTTTGTATCCTTTGTTTCTACCACCTCTCTGCTGGGCTGCAGGTCCCCTGTACTTCCAGGACTTATGGTCTCCAAGACCAGCAGATACAGCTGTTCATTTGGGGAGCAGGGTAGGCAGGGAATAGGTATGCAGACCTTTTCTCCTCCTTCCCATTGTGCAAAAATAATGAAAGATACCAGGCGTGGTGGCACACACCTGTAATCTCAGCGGGGAGGCTGAGGCAGGAGGATCGCTGTGAGTTCGAGACCAGCCTGAGCTACATAGTGAGTTCCAGGTCAGTCTCAACTACATAGTGAGACCCTGTCTCAAAAAACAAAAACAAACAAATAATGAAAGATAAGAATATACTGGCACTTGCCACCTCAGACCACCTGTGCTCTTAAGAGTATCTGAGATCTATAGCCAGGTGTGGTGGTGCATGCCTCTAATCCCAACACTTGTGAGGCTGAGACAGGAGGATCTCTGCAAGTTCAAGGCCAGCCTGCACTACAAAGCAAGACCCTGTCTCACAAAAGAGTATCTGAGATCTTATTACAAATTCATCCAGCTGCTTTTCCTTCCTAAAAGTGAGATGTGGGGGGCAGGCAGACTGAAATTTCTAAGTAATCAAGACTTACTGGAATTGCTAAGAAAGTCAACATTTTTTAAACTAGCTGATACCCTTTCTAATAATGCCACAAGAAAAAAGAAGGCACAGACAGCATTTGCCATGGGCACGTATTCATTCATTCATTCGTTTCTCATGAAAATCATTCATAATTCCACCCAGTAGAATGTTTGGGTTTTTTGTTGAATCTGGCCCTCTTTTTTTAAAGACAGGATCTCACAATGTCTTCAAGCTGGTCTTGAACTCACTAGGTATCCCAGCTGGTTCTAACTGGTGGTGATCCTGCCTCTGCTGCCCTCCCCACAACCCAGTGTTGAGATTACAGAGATGTGCCACCATGCCCAGAAAATCTGGACTATCCTATTCATAAAAAACTTTTTTTTTAACCTAAATAGGATCACATCATCAGTAGTAATTGGGTAATTTGCTTTGAAATATCTTAGCCATTTTGTATCGTTAAATATTTTTAAAAGCTTGTTTTATAATGCTTGCTAATATTTCATCATATTTTTTATAATTACCCAATTCCCTATTGTTGATTATTTAGGATATTAATTTTTTTATCATAAAGGTAACACTGGCCAGATGTGGTGGCACACACCTGAAGTCCCAGCAGGAGGATCGCCACCAGTTCGAGGTCAGCCTGGGCTACATAGTGAGTTCAAGGCCAGCCTGAACTGCATAGGAAGACCCTGTCTCAAAAAAGTAAATAAATAAATAAGATAAAAATAAAAAAATAAAGGTGACACCATCTTTGTTCAGTCTTACCATGGTTTTATTTGATCTCTACCTCAACCATGCTTGCTTTGTTTTTT